CTCATAATGCACACTCATACCTCACAATAAATGAAAAACGTCTCTGTTCGGGCGCCAATGTAACGGTCGTATTTTTGGACGTTTTTCGCAACGCGGATAGATCGCCGGTGCAAGGTTCGTGAGAAGGAAAATACGCGATGTGATCAGTTTAATTGTGTTTTATTTTAATAAAATGTATATATGTACAGAGTAGGTGTGTGTATAAGTGTGTGTGTGTGGTGTGTATGTGTGTGAGCATGTGTGTGAGTACAATATTCGTGTATAATATCTGTGTTGTCCGATTAATTACGCGACAATAATTGCAGCTTTAATTTCGGTTTCGATCTCGAACGCTGGCTTGTGTTTACGACAGCGCGAGACGGCGCGGGTTTTTGAGGCGCTTTTTCCGCGAGGAGTTCCGATGCTCCGAGAATTCACGGGTTCTCGGAATCGATGGGTGCTTTCGTGGAACTGTTTATTTCTCGGCGCCGCGATTTAAAGTCCGCGTTCGGTTGATTACAATCTATGTGCTTTAATAACGACGGCGTGATATTAAGAGACACAGCGGCGTTTAAACGTTTATTTCTTAATGCCGCTATTTACAGCTCACATTCGTTTTGTTGTAAAATGATGCGTTTTAATCGCGGCGGTGGATGACGTGATTCTAAAATGCGTAGAACGTTTAACACGACGGTATCGGTGACAACATATGTAATGCGCTCGGCGGTGGTTTGCACGTGCGGTATAGAATCGTGTCGCGAAGGATGGGTTACGCGATGCAGCTGGATCGAGAACACTCGATCCGGGGCGGTTCAGAACACCTTCCATGAGAGGTCAGCTGCGGATCAGGATTGCACTTGTGCGTCAGAACCGAGATCACTCGTCTGAGACGGAGTTCGTTCCACCTTTTGTCTTCGGCTACTTGTGCTTTTGATAGGATTTTCAGGATTGCTGCTGAAGCGTGCTGCATAGAGCGGATCAGGAAAATGTAATTAGATATCGAAATGTGACCCTTTTTATACGGGCTAATTGCCCGCGTCGGCGCGTATATCCCTTCCGAACGGATTTTCGGATAACGGTACGGTCGGGCCCGTTCGGAGAGGTTCGGGTATGAGCCGAACGCGAGCTTTCGCCGGTCGGCGGTTCGGGCCATCTCGATTCTATTCGGCGATGCTCGGCCGAATTTTGACTTAACATCTTTGCGTTTAGCAAAGTAATGTTAAAAAAAGGTGGGTCTCTGCCTCTGCCCGACGGGTGTTCTGCCGGACGGCAGCTTCCGGCGGATGTTATACCGGGAATCGGAACGAAGCACCGGGATGCATCATTACAACCTATATCCCAAATCGGGATTTAATCCGATGACCTAGTGACCTATATTCCAAATCGGGATTTAATTCGATGACCCAGTGATCTATATTCCAAACCGAGATTTAACTCGATGACCCAGTGACCTATATCCCAAATCGGAATTTAACCCGATGACCCAGTGACCTATATTTGTTGACCCACTTACCTAGTGACCTACTTTCCCGAATCCCTTTAATCCAATTCCAAAATGTATCGAAAGTTACGGACTTGACCCCGCGTATTACTATACTCTCCCCGGATACACGTGGGACGCCATGTTGAAACATACAAAGATTACGTTCGAGCTGCTTATGGATATCGACATGGTTATGTTCGAACGTGGTATAATCGGTGGTCTAAGTCAATGTTCCAACAGATACGCTCGCGCTAATAACAAGTACATGGAGTCGTACGATCCATCGAAACTATCGTAGTACTTGATGTATTTTGACGTTAATAATTTATACGGATGGGCAATGTGTCAACCGTTGCCCTATGCCGATTTTCGATGGGTCGACGACGTGTCGAATTTTGACGTATCATCCATCGCGCTAGATTCCCCTACGGGCTATATCCTCGAAGTGGATCTCGAGTACCCGCAACATCTTCACGATGCGCACACTGACCTACCGTTTTCCCCGACACACGACAAGCCGCCCAGTAAACGGGAATTCAAACTGCTTGCAACGTTATACGATAAGAAGCGTTACGTGATACACTACCGTAATCTACAGCAATGTACGCGACACGGCCTTCGTGTAACAAAAATACATAGAATTTTACAGTTTTCTCAATCTCCATGGCTTCGAAATTATATAGAATTAAATACACAGTTTAGAACACTGGCTAAAAATGATTTCGAAAAAAATTTATATAAATTAATGAATAATGCTGTGTTTGGTAAAACGACTTCCAAACTGTGTTTGGAAAATGTGCGTAATCGTGTAGATGTAAAATTATTAACAAAATGGGATGACCGGTACGGTGCAGAAGCGATAATCGCGAAACCAAATTTCCACAGCAGAAGCGTTTTTTCAGAAAACTTAATCGCTGTGGAATTGCGTAAACTCGAGGTGAAATTCTACAAACCGATTTACGTGGGTATGTGCATCCTCGACATATCCAAGACATGTTTGTACGAATTTCATCACGAGTATATGACGCCAATGTATCGCGACAAATGTAAAATCATGTACACCGACACAGACAGTCTCATATATCACATTGAGTGCGCGGATGTATATGATAACATGAAGCGCAATATCACCAGATTTGACACGAGCGATTATGCGGTAGACAATGCGTACGGTATGCCGCTTGAAAATAAAAAAATACCGGGCCTGATGAAGGACGAAAATAACGGCGCCATAATGACCGAATTCATCGGGCTCAGAGCAAAGATGTATGCATTACGAGTCGATGGGAAAAATGATACAAAAAAAGTTAAAGACGTCAAGAGCAACGTTGTCGCGAGAACGATAACGTTTGACGATTACACGCGGTGTTTGAGAGAAGAAATTGAAATGACGCGCCAGCAGTCGTGTATAAGATCTAAACTGCACCAAGTATACACGATCTGCGAGACGAAAATTGCTTTGAGTCCGTACAACGATAAGCGGTATATCGTACCTGAAACCACAGATACATTACCGTGGGGACATTATAGGATACCAATGTAATATGTAATGTAAAATATAAAATGTAAAATGTGTGCGATAAACTATCTATTAAAAGAATTATTAATAAAGATTTTTATTTTTGTATTGGTCTTCGGCTACTTGTGCTTTTGATAGGATTTTCGGGATTGCTGCTGAAGCGTGCTGCAAAGAGCGGATCAGGAAAATGTAATTAGATATCGAAATGTGACCCTTTTTATACGGGCTAATTGCCCGCGTCGGCGCGTATATCCCTTCCGAACGGATTTTCGGATAACGGTACGGTCGGGCCCGTTCGGAGGGGTTCGGGTATGAGCCGAACGCGGGCTTTTGCCGGTCGGCGGTTCGGGCTACCTCGGTTCTATTCGGCGATGCTCGGCCGAATTTTGATTTAACATCTTTGCGTTTAGCAAAGTAATGTTAAAAAAAGGTGGACCTCTGCCTCTGCCCGACGGGTGTTCTGCCGGACGGCAGCTTCCGGCGGATGTTATACCGGGAATCAGAACAAAGCACCGGGATGCATCATTACAACCTATATTCCAAATCGGGATTTAACTCGATGACCCAGTGACCTATATTCCAAATCGGAATTTAACCCGATGACCCAGTGACCTATATTTGTTGACCCACTTACCTAGTGACCTACTTTCCCGAATCCCTTTAATCCAATTCTGCGTTAAAGGGACTCTACTCTCGGTCAAATTCTTCTTATAAGGCAGAGTTCTATATTAAATTTGCACATCAAAATCACATCACCCCTAATGCGACCTCGCGAATTTCATAATCTCACCACCCCTGCCCCCTCTACCCCCCTCGACCTATCTCAAAGGTTCTGCCAAAAGGCGTGCAGATTTGCTAATAATAATACCAGAACCGCGCTTTGTATCTTCTGTTATTATCCTTTGTCCGCGGAAAAGCGGCTACAGTATAATTACGTGATAAAACATAGACTTATCATTGGCGAGAGTATCGGATATGCATGTATCCTTATTCCTGCGGCAGCAGATTAAGTAGTACCAGGATTAGCGACGAATGTTCGGAGTTTGCTCAGCGGTACCTAGACTACTGGTTGCGCCCCGCTAATTTCCCTACTAATCAAGATGGTAATATAGTGATCCCCATTGTATACTCCGAAAAAGACTCTACCGACACGGAGTCCGAAGATTGAGTTCGAGTGCTTCAGATCGCGCGCATCCCCGGGAAGAACTGCCTAGGTTTGCTAGATCCGAAAAAGCGATCGAGTCTCGTAGTGTCCGACTAGTCATTTAGATCCGCGACACCCCGGGACGTAACAAATTTGGTGACAGCGGTGGGATATTAGAGAAGAACTCGGATAAAATTATTCTGATATGCCGGATACCCGCAGCAGAAAAACCACGGGCAAACCGCTGATCGAAGCGGAAATCGAAACGATACAGGTTAAGCTTGTAGGGACAATTGTCTCCTACTTCGCTTGCGTTACACACCTCCACACATGTTAAATACAACTTTCTAATCCCTGCATGCATGCATCCGACATCCACTTTCTCCTCCGTGGAAATTTACAACCCTTGCATGCTACGCGGCCATCCATCGATCCCTTACATCGCCAATTAACACATGGCAGACACACGGCTTTTTCCTACACAACGGTCACTCATCCTCCGAGAATCTTTCCGATCGTAAAAACTTTCTCCCAAGATCATGCATGCTGAATCTGGATTTTCCAAGGGGCATTCAGTATCCGGAACTTGTAGAGAAAACCTCGAGTCTGCAGAATCTATTCCGCGCCTAAGAACACACGCTTCGATCTCCACACCAAACACACACGAGTCACTCGTTATCGAACGCTGTAATTGTTGTTTAAATAAATCTGAGTTAGAAAGAAGCGTCGGCTATTTTAATCGCCAGATTACCTACAAGCTTAATGAAAAAGACGAAAGATTAAAGGAAGAAGCAACACTTTTGAAAGAACAGCGCGAGGAGTACGAAAGAAACGTGTGAAATTTTAATAAATATCGTGAACAAATGAAAAAGAACATGGAAGCGTGCAAAACGGACATCGTAGGCAATGACGCACCACGAGTCGCGAGCGACGAAGTACTACGCGAATTAGAACATATGCGCCGAGAGCTCAAGCAACTTCGTAGGAAAGCCCACCCAACATCACGACATTCCGGACAAGGTTTCCCTCTACGCGATTCCCAGGAATATCAATATGATCTTTTCCTGGGATCAACACAACTCCTTTTTATTCTTAGCTGAAATGTCATCGTATACATTTCTTTGGCGCAAGATAGACAAAAACCTTGAAAGTTTCTTGGAAGTAGAGGCAATTAAAAAATCTGAAAATCTAAAGCCTGGACAAAAAATTGAAAATTCATCTACTTCACAAGTTTTGGACGATGAATTAAAAAATCTGGATGATTTAAAAAAAATTGAGCGTAAACTAAAAAAGGATGACAATTTTCATTTCAAAGTGATAAGATATTTGATTTTTTGTTCAAAAACATTCCATATCAGTTGTTTTACATATTTAATTACTTGTAGGTCGATGCTTTGCATGTAGGAATTATAGGAGAATCACTTCAAAAACAAGTGAATTCCGTACTTCGAATGGTTTTAGATGATAAACTGGCAAATCTTTTTAATTGGAAAGGGCAACGAGGAAATAAACTAAAGTTATCGAAACGCCGAATATCGAGAGTAATAATCAGTAAATTTATATTAATTACAATTAAACCTCTTAATAAAAATATAATTACGTTTATGCATATATAAATATAAGATAATTGAAGTATAAAAAAATATCTTTACAATTTGAATTGTTCTATATATTCATGGATTGTGGGTTTGTTATATTTCTTTACAGAAGCAATTGCTAAAGAAATTCCAACGATAAATGATACGATATTTGATAGGAAAGCAGGACCATGGTTAGCTCAAGCCAGCTTTCGTTTAAAAAAGTAAATATACATTATATTATATATTAAATAAGATATTTTAGTAATTTTGGGTACATTATATATTTAAATAAAAAAATTATAAGAAAATAGATTGCACATATAGAGATTATACAAAATTATACCTGAATTTATGCATATTATATTAGAGGATGTACTACATGTACATTTTCCATATATTGTCCTGATATTAAATTCATATGATAAAACATCTGTCCCTACATGAACAAAATTTATCTATTAACATTGTTTATTAATATTGATGTATTTTTAATAACAAGCATCAAGACAGGCATCAAGATGACATGAACAATAATAAACTTACTGATGTCAGCACTACAAGTGAAGATGAGACGAAAACTGACAATAACGAAGAAAACGGATATGACGAAGATAATGAATTAAGTATCTTCAAGACAATAAAAAAGATATATAATGAAGACGAGTAACAATGAGTTACGATTATAACGATAGGTGATATTGCATGTGATCAAAGATAAGTCACTTTTGTTACAGTATTATATTTTTTTATTCTTTTTCTTTTATGTTTGTGTTCAGTTTTGATTTCCTGACTGGTGTTATTTTATTAAAAAAGAAAAAAGATTGATTTCTTATTAAATACGTTAAATTTATAAATGTACAAATAACCCTTGTTAAATCTTTATTAGTTTGTTTATGTACTAAGATATATAGTTAATATTGTTAACATTTTATAATTTTATATCATTCGCTTAAAATTTAAAATATGTGTATTTGTAGATTTGATATAGTATTAACATTATTAGCAATATAGACGAATCTATATTTTGTATTGTCGCGCAATTCTATACACAGGTAGCAAAGGTTCGTCATTTTGACGTCAAATACTAGTCATGTTTGTACGAATGACGTCAAGTGACCAAAAATTGACATCATATATAAGTCATTTGAATGATATTATAATGACGTCATTATTGTATGTCAGTGTGACATAATATTTAAGTCCCACATTCATTTTATAATGACGTCATTATATAGTATGTCAGTATGACATAATATTTAAGTCCTACATTTATTTAATTTACATATTATAGTTTGTATCAATCTGAAAAAGGATGCCATTTATTTAAACAATTCCTGATAAGAAGTATTTGTGTTTGACTTTATTTATACTAAAAAACTATGTACAATTTTTAGATAGATCCTATTACATATTGAAATGAAAAATATATAAATACGAATATTTGCAAGTATACGTCATATTGACGCCGAATGACGTCAGTAGACGTTAAAATAACGTCATTTTGACGTTTAATGACATAAGTTTTACTGCTTGAATGCAATCATTGTATCGAAGTAGCAAAAGCAAATAAAAAGCGTTTGCAACACTTGCGAGCATAAAATCTGTCTTTTTCTTTTGGAGAACAATAAAAATAAAATAATGCCACGAGCATTGTGAATGTCAAGTGCGTGAAACAGATTACGCGCGTGCGTCGTTTATTGCGCATTTGTTATATCGGCGGAATAAATTATCAGTCTATGTTAGGTCCACGTGCTCCTAGTGCAAGTCCGTTCTTGTTCAGACGCAAGCGAACATTCGAAATTCCGTATAAACTTTATTATTTCATATATTTATACGTAATATATTTTCTTGATTATATAATCATTACTAAAATGACTTTTATTGGCGTCGAATTTATTACTAGTGATCTTGATGAAGCATCAATTGCTTTAGTACATCGTTCATGGTTAACACCACGAAAAAAAGAGGTTTGGTGGCCTCCGTATAAAACTGGTGCACAATTTAAGAAAGCACTCATCCTTGAAGAAAAACCAAAAGATGAAACATGGACATTATACGGTATTAAACAAATACTTTTTTCTTGTGATGCGTATACATATATTTGTGTGTGTGTGTGTGTGTATCTGTGTATATTGAGTATATTGAATATATTAATTGTTTATTTAATTAATATTATATTGTATATTGTGATATTTTTAATTAATAAATTTTATTGTATAAAAATAGGTTATGTTTATAAAACTTATTTTTAACAATTTTATCTTTGTTAATTATAGATGAATATCAGAAAGCTAATAAGAAACTAAAAAAGTGTGAAGAATTTTCTGATGTACAGTCTTCTACAGTGGAAGATAAAGAGCAATCAAAAAAAAGACAGCCAAAACGAAATTCTAAATACATATCTACAAGTGAAGAAGAAGATGATGAAAATGACCATTCTTTACATCGACCACCAAAGATTTCCACATTTGGTAAAAATATTTTTCAATTAGAAATTTAAATTTTTAATTAATAAATATAAATCTAATTTTATCTTTTTGTAAATATTGGAAGCATTTTATTATCTAAGCATTATTGTTTAGCACATGCGCTACAAGATAAACAAAGATCTTTAACACCAGTGCCAGTGTCTATGACATCAAAAGGCCCTCCAGAAACAGGTATAAAGAAATAGCAAAATATTTAAAAAAATAAAGCATCATATTTTTAAAATTTTGTTTCTGTTTGTATTTTTTTAAATTTGTTATATTATAGTATCGCAACTATACATAAATTCAGATTCTTCTGTACACTTAGATAATACTATTACTAGGAGATTAAAGGATATAAATTCTTTAAATAGAATCACAATACCATCACCATCTTTATCTGTTTCCACAAACATCAGTTCTCGATCAGAGTCTGTAAATTCAACTCTTATTAATGAATCGTATGGAGGACCATATTTTCGTAGCTTTACTGGTATGTCTTATTATTATTCTATAAAATAAATAAATATTTTTTTTGTATACTAGAATGTCTATTTATATTAAATTTTTCAGAACAAATTTTTACTGAAATAAAAAAAGTTCGAGAACAAGTTAAAGAAATTTATGGAATATTAAGGCATTCTAACACTCAAGGTGGCATACTCTCTATCCCAGATGATTGTCCTGTTGAATTTCCATTGAAAACACGCGAAGAATTGCAACTATTAGAAAATTATTTTAGCTCCCGTGAAAATAAACACGCTGTGGTATAAATTTATTCTAATTACATATTTTAACATACATATACAGACACATATGCTATTATTACTATTACTACTATTACTATTATATGTGTATGTATGTATGTGTTGTATATATATATATATATATATATATATATATATATATATGTGCCTATGCATGCATTAATGTTAATTTTTTTTATTATTTTACAGTCATTGTTCTTATCAACATTAGGAGGTGACACTACTACTGCAAGAACTAATAAAATTTTAAAATACGTTTTCACTAACGAACTTGCGAAAAGTTTCAACTTTGCAGGACAAAAAAATAAGGAAGCTTTTGAAAAGCTTTCTTTGAAAACTGTGGTAGTCCGTAAGTTTGACAACATTAAATATTTTACAAAAATTAATTAAAATTGTTTAAAAATAAAATTTCTCTCTTGATATAATATATATAATTCATTAGAAATAAATTGTATAAAATTTTTCTGTTTTGTTTATAGGTGGTGTGCAAATAAAATCACCTTCAACCACAGAAAAAGATATTGAAGATGCAATCAAAACTTGGTTAAAACACGCTTCTGATAGATTAAAGGAAAGTTTGAAAAGAAAACATCGAGAAAGGTTATAAATATTGTATTATATTGTACACGTATGTATTATTTTTTATTTTTATTTTGTCTATTGTGTGTGATAAATTAATATTAATTTTATTAATTTCACGTTTTAAGTTTGCATTATTCATTTTAATAATTGTTTATTAAAATATTATATCTTTTGTTTTCGTTTATTTGCAAAAATTTATCATTATGTTAAAAACTAGACGTAAACGTAAAGAATTTGTTGGACGGCGCCAGCAATATCGAAGAGTAACGCAAGCTGTAAACAAAATATTTGTTGCTAATGTTTCTAATAGAACACCTTGTAATAATTTGAACCTATCAAACGAAATATATAATGGATCATTAAATGATTTAGATACTAATAAGAGTACTAATAATAAAACGAGCAATAATGAAAATTTTGAAAATGTAATTGTCTCTTCAAATTTTCAAAACGATAACTATTTAACTATTGATGCCGTGTCTGATTTTTCTAATAAGGTAATAAATAATTTTTCTGACACAGATATAAACAGTAGCTTAGATAATCAGAGTAATTTTATGTTTGAATTAATGAAATGGGCCACTGAAAGACACATATCACATTTAGCTGTAACAGATCTTTTGCACATACTTTCCCCCTATCACCCTGAATTACCATTAGATTCCCGTACATTATTGAACACTCCAAGTTTTACGCGAATTAATAAATTAGAAACTGGAGAATTTTGTTACTTAGGTTTGAACATAGCTTTGAAAAATGTATTGTCACAAAAGTATATCCAAGAATGTTTAGAGTCTGATGAAACATTAAAAATCTGTTTTAATGTAGATGGTATCCCATTGTTTAAAAGTAACAAATTACAACTATGGCCTATTCTGGGACTTATTAAAAATTTTCATAATATTCCATTTATTATTTCAATTTTTTGTGGCACGTCAAAGCCTAAACCTTTAAATCTTTTTCTAAGGAATTTTATAGATGAATTAAATGATTTATTAAAAAACGGATTTGATTTTAATGGGAATCACTTTAAAATAGAAATCCATAGTTTTATATGCGATGCTCCTGCTCGTGCTTTTCTAAAATGTACAAAGATACATTCGGGGTATTCTTCATGTGATAAATGTATCGAACCTGGAGAATATTATAAAAATAAAGTTGTTTTTACAAGTGAAACAGCTCAAAAGCGCACAGACGAATCTTTTAGGAAACAGATAGATGATGATCACCATCATAGCTTATCTCCTTTAATGAATTTACCTATAGATTTAATAACATCTTTTCCCACAGACTACATGCATAACATTTGCTTAGGCGTAATGAGAAAGCTATTAAATACATGGGTTGGAGGTCCATTAAACGTTAGATTACCTAACAGAAAGGTACAAATTCTCTCACAACGTCTCATTAATTTACGGCCA